GTCCATGGACTTCATTACACAACTGCCAAAAACTAAGGGAGGTCATGATGCTATCGCCGTGTTCGTCGATAGACTGACCAAAATGGTCCGCCTTGCAGCTACGACCACCGAGCTCTCCGCAGAAGGAGCAGCTGACCTGTTGGTGCAGAATGTGATAAGGCACCACGGCCTCCCCTCTCAGATAGTGTCCGACAGAGACGTTCGGTTCACTTCCAGGTTTTACCGGTACCTGGCCGAGAGGTGGAAGATCCAGCTCAACATGAGCGCTGCGTACCATCCACAGACGGATGGCCAGACCGAAGTCATGAATCGGGTTCTGGAGGATTACTTACGCAGTTATACGCGTTCTGACCATGACGCGTGGGATGAACTGCTAGCCATGGCCGAGTTTGCAATGAACAACTCGAAAAACAGTTCCACCCAAGAAACCCCGTTCTATCTGAATTACGGGAGGCACCCAAAGAGTCCCTTAGCTCTTGGTGTGCAAATTCGGAAGCCATTAAAGGGCTATGACAATCCGAATGCCAGCGGCTTGGCAGTGGCCATTGAAAGGGCGCAGCAGCCTTATTTGAGGCAGTCTGGTACACCCCTCGTGGAGGGATTACCAGCAGTGACACGATTTGATCACCGTGTCCAATCAGCGCTGAAAGAGGCCAGGGCGTGCTTAGAGAAAGCACGAGATAGGCAGTCAAAGCATGCTGACCGCCATCGAAGAGAGGTGTCGTTTAGTAAAGGAGATGATGTCCTCCTTTCGACACAGCATATTACTCTCAAACACCCTGGGACTCGAAAACTATTACCGAGGTGGATTGGGCCCTTCACCATCCTCGACCGGATAGGTTCTGTTGCATATCGACTAGAACTCCCGGACAGCATGCATAGGATACATCCAGTATTTCATGTATCGAAGATTAAGCCTTATAAGGCAAGTGGCAGAGTACAGCCACCCCCAGTACCTATCGAGATCGAAGGTGAACTGGAGTATGAAGTTGAACATATCCTTGATAAAAGGATTAAAAAGCGTGGGAGACGCAAAAACTATGTTGAGTACCTTGTCAAATGGCTGGGATATGGACATGAGCATAACAGCTGGGAATCAGCAAAGTCAGTTGCAAATGCACAGGAATTGGTTCAAGCATTTGAAAATGGCGGAACACCTGTGATGCGAATGCAAACTGCATGAAGTACGGGATGTACATACTGAAACATGCTCATGTGTGCTTATGCTTTTGACAGGTTCTCTTGCGCTGGGCCCAGAAAAACACTGGGTATACTGCCCCCCGTGCAAGGTCGCAGTTTGGACACATGAACGCCATATCCGTTGCGATCCTCAACGGGGAGAGGTTGGAGACCGCCGACCCCTACGTGCCATTTCCCCGTGCGCCTGAGCGTGCACGCGGACGTGGGCGACAGCGGGGTGCCGCACCGGGCCGATCTGTACCGGCGTGGGCTGCTGGTGGTACTCGGCATCGTGGTCGCCGATGAAAGGCCGGGAGGTCAAACATTTCCAACCACTTGGCTGAGGAAGAGTTTTAATGAGGGTTGTGAAGGCCGGGACGGTCATGTAAAACAACCACTCTTTCTCTTCATCCAAAACTGTTTTGTGTGTTGTGTTTTGTTAACTGGGCATGTGGCAAATCGCACAGCCAGTTCCACCAACATACATACAATGTTTTTGCTCCCGTATTCACTTATATTGGGACGAGGACGCCCCTCTCCCTGAGGGGGACGAATGTTACGCGCACCAGCCTGATGTGGGAGACGTCCTACTAATGGCCCTTGGTGTGGGGGACGCCCTGCCCAAGACACGTACTATTCCTCACCCAATGTAACCTTTATCCATATTAGGATACGGGAGTAGGAGGGGTGGTCCCGCCTAGGTGCCCTGTAAGGACCTAGGTGCCCGGCGAGGCGGGTCCGCGGCTCAAAGAGGGCAGGAACCCCACACCCACATCCTATTCGTAACACATCCTTCATCAGAGCGATGGCAACGTTTTCTTTCCTTGTTGCGTCATCATTTTGTTCGGTGTGCTCTCCCTGCTTCTGTTTCTAAGGGCTCTTTCACAGTAATTACCGATGCGAGTAAGATTGGTTGGGGTGCGGTTTTGCTTGCTGGCCGTAAGATTGTGCGCTGTGCCCATGGGTTATGGTCAACGGGTTTTCAGCACCATGTCAGCAACGTCATGGAGTTGGAGGCGCTCTGCCGGGCTCTTCGGACTTTCCGGCCTTGGATATTTGGGGCTCCTATTCACGCCATTATGGACAACCAGGCAGCGGTTAGCTTCAACAACCCTGCTAACCTCAGTGATTTTCTCAAGCGACGCTTGGATCTCCTTTCTTGGTATTCTCCTCAAATTTCATTTTGTCCGGGACCCTTTAATTATCTCGCCGATTTTCTATCTAGACAGGGGGCATGGATACAGGCACCTTTTCATGTTCGCACAGTGGAAGGACACCGCTCTCCAGTTATATCCCAGGCACAATGGAAGCAGGCTCATGCTGGGCATTTTGGAGTAAAGAAGACATATCTTCGTTTCCGCCAAATGGGCCTGCGTCCAAAGTGGAAATGGGTGATGGATAGGGTACGGGCATGCAAAGAATGCCAATTGTTTCACCGACCACAACCGTCCAACCCATTTGGTAGTTGGCACGTGCCAGAGAGACCGGGGCAGGTCATTGGCCTAGATTTTATGGGACCTTTTTCTGAGAGAAAAGTTGGGAAGAAGCGGTTTGTTCTCGTCATTGTGGACATGTTGACTAGACGGGCAGGGGCGTGGGCAACGACTGGTGCCGGGGGGGCTGACATTGTGAGAGGGCTCAAGAAGTGGGTAGCGACACAGGGGATACCTTCGATTCTGTGTTCTGATGTCTGCAAGGCTACACAATCCAGGGAGTTGCAGCGATGGTGCATGCAGGAGGGAGTGACGCAGGAGTATTCTCCCCCATACCATCATGCCTCTATTGGGTTTGTGGAACGGTTCAACCAAATCTTGTTGAATCGTTTGCGGCGAATGTGGGCAGAGCAACCCAGGTATTTTGCCAAGACAGTTGAGCAAGCAGTGGATATCTATAATGGTACGCCTTTATCTTCGCCGGAAGAAAGCAAAGAAACCCCTAGTTCATTCACGTTTGGATCGCCGGAGCAATTGTGGAACAGCTCGCAGGAAGTGTGGAGTCAGTTACGTGAATATACACGTCAGCAGCGAGAAATGGCGAACCATAGGACAAGAGGGCGACGCGTCGCGCGAATGTTCAAGGCAGGAGACCAGGTATGGCTATGGAGCACAAAGGTGGAAACATTGAAGGACAAGCTCGAGCCATGGTGGAAAGGGCCGGGCCAGTTGATTCGCCCCATCACGACTTCGGTGTGGGAAGTTAAGGGACCGGAGGGGAAACTTTGGGTTAGACACACGGACATGATACGGCCGTACCACGACAGGGTTTAAACGGATAGTATTTTGGGTCATGTTTCAATTTAGCGCAGGGAAGCGTGTGAAGACAAGAAAAGGTGTATAAGTAGTTAAGTGAGTATGGTGAATTGAATATGGTGTTTATGGCGGTGACATGGAGAATGACGGGGAAAGACGGGGTCTGAACATGCTTGCAGTGAATGCTACATAACGGACAGAACCATCCTGTAACCTATCTGGTCGCGGCTTGCTTCCCGTGCCTGGGAGCGACCGTGTGTGAGCGCGAGTGAGGAGCGCGAACGAACGAAACCACGTGATAATCATCATCATCATCATCATCATCATTATTTACAGAACAAGGCAATGAGGTAGCCGTCAGCTTCCTATTTTTTCTGATAGGAAATTGTCACGCCAGGTTGAGCTCAAAGCCATCAGAAATTGGCGTTTGGCGACTCAGTAATTACCCTAAGCTTTTCCCGGCACCCGTCACCTGAAAATAGACGAATTTCGCCCAAATCTCCCACAAAACAGCCTCGTTTCGATCATCCTGTTGATCAACGTCCGTTAGAGTCACGACACCTGAATGGAGTAATGTGTTACACCAAACGGTGCCGCGCCCGACTCAGAGTTCTTTGCGCCGCATCACAGTAAGTCCGACAGTTTAAATACTTTGCCGTGTTAGTACTTAGAACATATGAGCATTCTCAGAAGCTGCTTGCACTTCAGAACATACTCTCAAGGGTCTTGAGCGTTTTTTTTACTTTCCAATGGGTGGCTGGGAGCAACTTGGACTCCACAAGCGGATTGTTGTCGCAAGCAAGCCATTGTGATGGTGCCCAACGTAACTGCAGGCACCTGTGAATCTCGCATTTGGCAGCAACTACCCTCGGGCAGCAATGGGCGGTGGATCTGCTAGACAGATCGCCCTTCACTCGTTGCTGCGACGCAATGGCAGATGAACACGATGGGCGCGGGATCCATCTGTTGCTGAATTCTGGTGAACATACATGTTGCACATGACACATTCACTGCAGGGTACTTCGACGCACCACCTTGTTCGACACTGCTAAATGGCCATCATGGATGACATCAGCACCCTGTGTCCAGCGCTGCTGACAGCATTCCCATTCCATTAAATGCCATTGGCGAGCTACTACGATCATCGACTTGGGCCATGGAGGGACTCCACTGGAACTGAAGGCGGGATGTTTATTCCATCTCTTTGCAACGTCTGTCAGCGCGCCACAAAGGAGAGCCTGAGCATCCTCAAAGAAAAGAGAGGTGATTTGGATCTCCGCAAACCAAATCATCGGCGACCAGGTGAGAGAGGAAACGAGCGACTGGACAAATTGAAATGTTTCTGCACATTTTATTGGGACCGAAGGTGGAATCTTCTAATTGCCAAGCCATGCACTCCACCACATTCAACTGAATGTTTGGACCAGCAAGGCCATTTTTGATGATGTGGAAATGTGCAACCCTGGTTGCAATAGAGTTTCTTGTATGAATCATGACGTGGCAGTGACCGCAAAACTACATGTTAGCACAAAGAAACGATAAGCAGAACAAACGATGGCACCATTCCTCTCATCAACAAATGCAGCTGGCAACATAAGCAAGGCAATCCAGTGTGATCTTGTGGCAAGAAGCTTGGCGCTTCTCAGCAGCTTCGGTCATAAGGGGAAACCTACAGTGTATGACGAAAGCACTGCTCCTTGTAGTAAGGAGAGAACACCATTCAAGAATATCAAAGATGAACTGTGTAGGGAAACTGAAGCAGACATGGAGAGCAACCTCACTCCATAAGTGACTCCAACCAGCATCAGGGTACGACGAAAAGGACAAAGGCAGCAACCCCAGACAGGGGTATGATGCACTGCCATTTTCTGCCACCTTCCTGCAGAGAGTACCAGAGTGCAACCTGTCACAATCTTGACAGTGGTCCAGCCGCCAGATGCTGAGACAGCGCGATTTCCAGCCACCAGACACTGCCAACAGCATCACATGAACCCCACGGCACGTGCATGTTCAACCTTACGGGTTGAAACTAAACCCCTGGAGTTTCAACCTCATCGGCACTCAGTGCACCAGAGCGAGCATCAGCTCCACCATTCAATGCAGATTCCATGTTTTCTATGTCTGCTTGTCCATTGCGGCCAAGAGTCAGTATTTCGACCACCTCCTGCCACAGCACAGCACGCTCCCCTGTGTGAACATCAAGACTGCCCAGGACAGAAAATTGCTTTCCTCTTACTTGGGTACCAGAAGCCAACATCACCACCAGTCGCTGTTTGAAAATGTTGTCAAGTACAGCCATTTACAAGGAATAGCTTTTGCAGGCGCAGGTGGCTCTGAGCAGACAATTCGGAGGGAGTTGATGTCTGTCTAGTGATCAATGCATTCTGTTCCACAATGATGCTAACCCTTGAATTGCACAAGACGAGCAGCCGAACCAACATGCACACTCAAGACCCACAGATCGCCACAGCGAGGTGCACACTGATGCCAGTGGAGGCTGTTTGGTTCAGCTGGCATATGCTGCCATCAACACAGGCACTCACCATATGACCAGCTTGACTGGCTTCATCAACTGGAGTTCTATCCGCTCTGTTCACAGCTGCTGGATCAGCTCCAGCTCCCATCAGCAGTGAAACGACCTTCACAGGCACATTGAGTTTCACCTTGCTTAACATTCTGCCCAATCAATCCTATCCTTGCCATTGAATAATGAACCTGCAAGGACATTATTCCCTTTGAACTTGCACACACATGAATATATACCTGTTGAATTTGTGTCTCTTTGCAGATTTCTGCCTGTACCCCACAAACTGACAGCAGTGCTAGGGATAAACAGTACAAATGACCACCCGCCATCTGTGCTTGGCAAACAGTGGCGTTCAACCATTGGTTTCCACTTCCAATCAGCGACAGAGCTGTCCAGTGCCAGGCTCTCAGACAGGTTGGAAGTTCTCTTCTATGCGATTTCCTCAAGTGCAAGAACTCAACAAGATTTTCAGGGTGGCATACGCTGCAAGAGCTTTGTGGCTGATGGCATATTTTGTGCAGCAATGCACACTCGCACCCCTTTGTCAACCTGACCGTGCCAGGGCTGCAGGTGATCGCCAAGGCTGCACTACCACCCGTCTATTCAAGGTAGGCTCCAATGCACAGCAGTTGTCACACCTCACGATGTCCATTTAGGCTTGCCCAATGAAGAGGTGTGTTGCCATGCTCATTTCTTGGGTTGACGGTCTATGCACAACACTGATACAGCTGCTAGTAACCACAGTGCAATCCTGAATTTTTCAGCACTAATTCTACAAAATGCAGCAGCACATTCCCAGTCATATAAAAGCTATGCTAGCCTTAGTGCAGCAAGTGTCAAGTAATACTGACCCCAGGCCCAGGATATGCTGATCAAGCAAAATCGCAAGGTGCGATGAGCAAGATGCCCAAGTACATTGCAACAGACCAGCAGCACATGCGAGCAAAATGGACACAAACGAATGGTGCCAACATGCATGAGCACAGCCAAAGATGGAGGGAGCCAATAAGTGCTACTTACAGCTCCTGCTTGCAGCAGTCGTGCAACAACGTCTGTATGCCCATTTGCGGCAGCAAAATGAAGCGCTGAGCACAAAAAAAGGCACATAGATCCTTGTCACAACATTATGTGCGCGAGTCCTGCTGTTTGTGCCACAGTGCCACATCTCAGCACTTACTTCAGCATACCTTGGGCACACACCAAGAACATGCCACAACAATCCTGAGCACCAATTGTGCAAACCCATTTAGTGTGCCCCATCTATTTTAAGAAATTGTTTGCACGTTCCATGTTTTGTTTCCTGACACCTAATTTGGCACTGCTGTTCTTGTTGCCATTCCCATTATGAAGATTGTTCTGTTGGATGACAGGAAATATGCCAGCACCATTGCTGTGCTGCTAATGCCGCAGAATCATTCTTTGTGCCTACACAATCGTCTTCCCTAGTTAACACCACGATTCAGTGCTTCTCAACGGGAGTACACTCTGTGTTTTCATAGCCAGGGATATTTCTCAATTAGAGTTCCTATCTGCTGTTGTCATGTGCGGTGTGGTGGCGCAACGGCAATGGAATGATGTGCAGATGTTCTTCTTTGGCATTGAACATCGCATTCTGCGAATGTCATGGCTACATCTCTCTTGGAAATTAGCTCTATGAAGCAACAAGGGGGCTTGAACAAGGGAACACCTCTTTGGTAATATATTTATCATTGGGTCATGCGAAACGTTTGGCATTCAGTGAGCAATTTGGGACACAACATTGCGGATATACACATATACCCTCACAGGTTCCTGGGTGTTCTTGTCAATGTTGACAATCGCCGTCAATCATCACATGTGAGGTGAGAAACAGAAGAAAAAGACGAATAACAGCTGACGGCCATTGGTATCATCTTCTCCTGTGCCTTGATGCATGGCAGTTTTCACAGCATTGAATCTTGCAAGTGTCTCTGTCGTCACTTCTGAAGAAAACAGAAGCACGGTTCCACTGCCTCAACAGTGCAAATCGCACATATCCAGCGATGCAATTCCTCGCCCAGTGTTTTGAGCCGCCAGCGCACCCTAAATACCAAAATCAAGCCGCCCCCAAAGCACTGGGTTTTCAGCAAGCAGACTGGCCGGGTGCCACATTTTCATTCGTGCAGCTCTATTTGTTGTGGCGTCTGCCTCTGTTCCGCAGACTTGACGCCAGGGCTCTAAGCTCTTCCCTAACAGCCGTCAGCTGGGCAGGTGACGGAGTAGTCTGGAGTCAGGGCGCTCCCTTAAACAGCGGATTGGCCCAGAGCTCACAGCGCCGATTCGAGGCCTGTTCCTCAACGAGAATATATCGTCCCCTCTATTTTCCGTGAGGATCCCTTCTTCTTCCGCTGACAGGGCCGACGCCGGTCAGCGGGCCAGTAGTATAGGGTTCAGGGTGTCCGAAACAAAGACGGTTTCTCCACGGAAAAGACGGAGCGACCACTTTCATGCCTTCCTCAACCCACCCACGCAGCCACCGGGTCCCCTGACGTGCACGTCCGCGCCTCCCACCCGCAGCGCCCCCTCCACACCCTCGAAGCCACCGTGCCTCGCACCTTCCAGCAGCATCGCAGCCCCTCCTCGCCCCTCGACTTCGAAATGTCCACCAAGCCAGAGGCCCCACACACACACACACACGCCACGCCAGCAACGTGTCGGTGTCGAAACATCACGTAAGCCGTTTGGGCCCCTTCCCGCTTCCTCTCCCGGGGTGTTTGGCCCCCCGTTATTCCTCGCTCTCCGGCGCGCTTGGGCGACTGCTTTGCCCGCTGGGCGCCCGCCTCGCCATGGCGCTATTGGCCTCCTGCCGCCGGCACCTGCTGTCCTCGCTTGGACCCCTGGGGGCTTCATCCCGCGGTGCCTTACCGGGCGCCCGCGCGGCGTCGACCTTCGCGCTGCCGGACCTGCCCTACGACTACGGCGCCCTGCAGCCGCACATCAGCGGCGAGATCATGGAGCTGCACCATTCCAAGCACCACGCCACGTACGTGGCGAATTTCAACAAGGCGCTGGAGGAGCTGGCGGAGGCGGAGGCCAAGAAGGACGCGGCCAAGCTGATCACCCTTCAGGGGGCTTTGAACTTCAACGGGGGAGGTGGGCTGTTTTGGATCTGCGGTCCACGTAGAGCGGCCACGGAGGAAATTGCCACGATATATCAAGTTATTTCCCTTGCACCTCGTTTGATGGATGTTCCGCGCAGGTCAGTTCCCGGGGCGTTTGTTTCCGAAAGGCTTTGTTCCTCTTCTTTTCCGCACGGACCAACGTTCTCCACCGATCTTGAGCCTCCCCACGTGCGTTCTTCCCTTTGGATAGCATCTGACGCTTGTATGGGAAGGATTGGATGGTGGCAAGTTGTTCGGAACGAGTTGCTTTGATCTCCAGATCAAGCTGTAATGGTGCGCCGATTCTCACACAAGTACATGTGGAATCGATTTGCTCTTTGTTCTGTCAACTGTTTTTCCATCCATGTGTATGGTCGGGCTCTGACCATTTAATGATGATAGCTATGGATCCTCAAGCGAGTGTTGGGCGTTACTGAAGTCGCCCAGTCCGAGATGGTGGGTCATGCTTGCATTTGTGTGCGATTCTCAGGACATCTGAACCACAGCATCTTCTGGACGAATCTATGTCCCAGCAAGGTATGTCACATCCTTCATTGCAGGCAGAAACATTTATTTTGGTCATTGTGGCAGGCATGCCTGTTCATGCCATGATTTTTGTATCAAGAACATGTTGTGCTTATCGGCTGGGCACACAATGTGCATTCATATGCTGACATTTCTTTGGATGGCTGGCTTCTCATGAGTTTCGCAGGAATGGGGGATTTGTAAAGCACTTGTATCTGACAGTTACACAATTCTCCCAGGATTGGGCGCCTCCCTCTGGAGAGCTGGCGGCTGCTGTTGAAGCACAATGGGGCAGCCTGGATGCTTTCATAGCAAAGTTCAATGCATCAACGGCTGCTGTTCAGGTATCACGGATGTACTTCAAAATTCGACAGTCTTTTGTTTCCTGTACTGCTGAAGCTTGAATCAAGACATCCCTTTTCATACCTATGGGGCAAGTGTTGCTCGTGTAATTGATGCCTGCGCGTCGCTGGAATAGTTGCCTGTGTATGACGGATATGATTGTCTGTTATTGGTCACTATACCATTCTGTGGAAGATGGTTAGGCCCATCCATGTTTTGCTGTGGCAAACTTGTGCTATGCGTGTGCCACAGGGTTCTGGCTGGGGTTGGCTGGCCTACAACAAGACAGCTGGCATCTTGGAAATCGCAGCCACCAAGAATCAGGATCCACTGGTCTTGCAAGTGAGAGCACACCTTTGGCTTGCTCAATATCTTGACGTCCCCATTTGATATCGCGTGTCGTAGTGTAATTTTCAAAACCAGAAAACATGGTACCCGGTAGATCTCGCACCTCTCCGCAAGAAAATGATGTGCCATTCCCTCGCTTGTAGCATCAGAGAATGTAGGTGCCCGCCAGCCAAAGGATAGTGAAGAAATGCAACTCTCCAGTGCATTATTGTTGTGTTGCGCACCTCTCAGAATGTCCCCCTTGGTTGCAGCCATTAGAGAAAAGGGATGCAGAACGTGTCCAATGACGGCCTTGCCTGCCCCAAAACAAGAGCTTGGCACTCACCTCCACACTGTAAGAGTGAGAGCGTCCAATCACAGCACAAGCACTAGAAGTGAGTCGTCGAGACATTCTTCAAATGACCTGCTGAACATGGAAATTTGGCTATTTAGGATTGATAGCGTGCCAGATCAAAGGTCCATTGATGGCACCACGGAAATCTCATGTTGTATTTTGCATTCCTTCGCCACAGGGACTTGTTCCACTTCTGGGGGTGGACGTCTGGGAGCATGCATACTATTTGCAATACAAGAACAAACGCCCTGACTACTTGAAGGCAGTGTGGAATGTTGTGAATTGGAAAGATGTTGCTGAGCGCTATGCTGCGGCAAAGGCGGGTTGAGTTGTGCTATCAGCTCTACATTTTCTGCAGTGCTGTTGCTGGAGCTGGCTTTTTGTTGTAGGCACACGTTTGGGCGTGAATGCGGGAGTCGGGCTTGCCAGGCTCGTTTCAATGGCATATTCAGCCATTGTCTGCAGCCCTTTAGTTTCCTTGGCATCCCCATGTGCACTGTTTACAGAAGCATCCTCCTGTTGGCACGTTAGCTCTGCCTTGCTTCCGCGGTGATGCAGGCAGCATCACGACAAGCACGTACTTGAAGGGTCGCTCGCTGCCACACATGCCTGTCTGCAGTTCCCTGCACAAGTCCGGTATATTCGGAGTGCCTTCATCGCTATGCTTTTATCGAAAGGTGCGAGTGGCTCCAACATTATAGGGGTCACAGAAGGGAATTCTGTGACCTCCGTTCAGCAAAGCAATATTTGGATGTAGATGCCCATCACGCGTAAAGGACTCTTTGTGGAGGTGTCGGGACCGTGGATGCTAAGAAGTTGTATCGACAGAATCAAAGTTAGGGAGAACACCAGGTTGGCCTTCTCTGCGGGCGCAAAGATGACATGGACGCAGTTGTTTGTGCCATCTCCATGGGGATCCATCTGAAAGCGTATTGAACCAGAAATTTGGTACAGCTTGCTGTACAATTATGCTAGCAGGATTCCACACATCGTGGCGGTATGCACACAAATTGAGTACGAAGGAGTCAATCGCCCATCGCCAAGATATGACCCGGCAAACATATGCACATGGAAAGGCACAGTCTGCCTTCCATGATGCTGATATTGCAGAACAACTGCCCTATCAGGCTGCACCGCGGCCACGATAGCCTTTTTCATGGAGATTGTCTCGATTCGCGTGATCTCTCTCTTACACAGGGTGACGCGCATGCAACCTGCACCTTCGGTGCACCGCGCTTCGCACCCAGCACAGGCAAACCGGCCATTGTTCAGCGCGACCGGTCCCAAAAATTCTTGAAAGCTTCTGGTACAGCCATTGCGCTCCAAGGCGCCAGGAGCGCATTGGTCATGCACAACATCATTTGAAGAAAACAAAGGTAAATCAACCACCCTGCAACGAGCCTCCACCAAGCCAATTCCCCCTTCCTACAATAGCTGCACGGCTCTCTACCACATCACGACACCCCACTCCTCGAATTCCCAAAGGCATGCCCAGAAGGCTTCTCGCACTTTCACGTGCCGGCCAGCTGCCTGCTATCCAGAGGGCTGGCCACCGGGCCTCGAGCTGGTGTGATCAGATGGCCGATCCGGTAGGCCATCAAACACCGCATTTGCCGGAACTACGGCGCCCGCCCTGGCATCCTGCTCCCTGGCGTGCAGGCCCTCCCTCGGCAGGCACTCCACCTCGTCTAGGTTGGTAGAGTTCATCCGTATCATTCTCCCATCCGAACGGACCACCATTACGGTGGCCGGCCCACGGGGCTGAAGGTTGGGGGCATCCAGGAACCGATGGCCGCCAGATCCCATGCTTGAGCTGCCCGAACGGCTGATGGAGCGATGGGACGCCGGGGGCTGCTCCATGGGGCCCTCCCACAGCGTGGCGCTGACCATGTCGGAATTTTCGAAAGACGACGGCCCAACGTGCAGCTGGTTCCTGTGGCGAGAGTGACCGTCACAATGGACGCCATTCAGAGTAATGCGCATCGGAGTGCTTAATGGCAGCTGAACGAACGGTGTGCATGGCCTGATTCGGCACAAAGCGGCATCCAGCAAACGACAAAGAAGCTGAATTGGACCAAATTGGACAAAAATGCGATGATAGCATTGACGAAGGCAGGCAGGGTCGAGGGGTGGCGATCCCTGAACGGGAATCGTACGCTCAAGTCCACGGCAACGGTTTACAGCCGAGGCAAAAGGACAACAGACGTTCTGTCCTTTATACCCAGTCCGTTCATCAACATCCTTAATGTAATTCTTAGTGCTTCGTCATCTTTTCATACATTCAGTTATTTATAACACTCAATCAGTTCTAGCCGTAACAGCATCATCACGGCTGATGATGCCCTGCTTCGAACAGTATCACGGACATTCGCAGACACTGGCCTGGCCTAGAAACAGACACTCTCGCTGAAATCTTGTCAGCAGCCCGTTCATGCGGCGTTGGTGCCAACAGACAATATATATACTACATGTAGCATATCATATGTCAAGGAGCGCCTAGCAAGCAATGCAGCGAAGCTCCCAACAATATGGTCCCGTTCTCGTTGATCATGTTTAATGCAGCCACAATATTCTACAGTGAGCGCTCTGTGCCGTGTCTGTACATCTTCAAATACGCCCACAATCTTGGGTCCCATCGCGTGAAAGAGGTCCTGTGTTGTTCACCAGAAAACACGCGGATTTCATAAAGCACATAGTGGACGGTCGGTAGATGCACTGCAAACGTACCTGACATCCTCCATGTTGATCGGCACGCCATCTGTGCCGGCCAACACAATCAGCCTTGTGCCGGCCAGCTCGCCGGACTCTTGTCCTCTGCTCAGATCCCCGCTGCCAGCGCCCCTGGAACTATCTGAATCCGGCACAAGAGATTTCCGGCACATGGGGCAGTCAACTGCCTGGCTGAGCCACCGAGTGATGCAAACTTCATGGAAGAGGTGCTGGAGGCAGACAAGAATGGGCATTCAGGTTGGCAAAGATGCTGACCATCAATAATCAGCACATCAACATCCGGAAGATGATGAGGCAATGCTGTGGGCTCCGGAGGGCTGCCTATTGTGTGAATTGTTTTCAATTTCGTACAGATGACTAAGAATCAATGAACTTCAGGTAACTGTAAATTCGGGGGCTTGCATGCTGAACTAGAGCTTATGTGGAAACGGTCACTGAGCATCATAACAGTAGACTCGTTTTGCGCCATCATGAAACTTGGTAAGAAACGGGCGGGGCGAACATGGTTAGGGTACTTGCAACTCCGGCAGGCCAGCCAGATTGTCAAAGCCCAGAGTTAGTGCTTCTGACTTTGCCAGGTGGGGCAGGTGTCGCAGGCACAACTCAGCACAGCAGTGCTTTGCATGGCAGCCAACAATCCGCCGGACGTGCAAGGGGCCAAGAGATGAATTAGGGGTGGACGATTCATGATTTGCAAGACTGGCTGAAAAGCGCAGCGACCCAGGGGTGACACTCCCCAATCTGCCACCAAAACCTGCTGGCAAAGGCACCTTCCAGCACGACGCTGATGTCCAAAAACACCCTCCTCTGCATTTTATGAGTCCATGATGGATGACTTGTTCCACAATTTTCAACCAAACCTGATGTGGCCAATGCCCAGTTACAAAACATGAAACGTCGCTCGACGATTTGCCTGAATGTGGAACACTATATTGGTATTCAAAAGGGCTGACGCAGAGCTCACAGTTGAAAACCAGCAGCACATTGTTGGCTTTAGACGCTTGCTGAAGCCGAATTCCACAGCGGTTCCACATGTAAGCACCACTTCTTTGCCCTTGTCCAATGGCCAGTTTCTAGCCCACTTGAAATACCAAGAACACACTACTCACCCCACACGGAAGCTTCCTGAGCTTGTCCCCCTTCTCAAAGTCAGTGATGCAGATGGTGCATGTTGCACCATTCTTTCCCATCGACTTGGGGTTGTAGACTAACTCTTCAAGATTGTTCACAACGTGGCCCGGAGTTGGACGGCGCAGGACAGCCATGATCACCTGGTTTTGACCTGGCTCATCAGATCGCTGTGAGTTTCTGGCATGGTGGAGATATCTTCGTCTCCTGCATCAACACATCACAGTTGTCATTCAATTCCAAGATTCCTTTCAGTCGTTGTTCGATTCAGTATCATTTTTTCAGCATGAACTAGAATCTCAGGCTGTTCCTGTTAAGGAGGGATCCACTTTTCTGATGCAACATTGTGTCAGCACGGCAGGAATTCGGGTGTCATTTTTTTGCTCCAAAGCACATTTCTAACCTCAATTTCCTCAGTTCTTCAACGTACTGAGTGAGACAACAACATCCTGTTGGAGAAAGGCAGATACCTTGCTACCATGTCGTGACTCTGCTGCACAATCAAAGAAGTCCGTTCGATGGAAAGAAAACAAAAATAGACTTCACACCAGATAGATGTCACAATTCCTCAAAGCAACAGAAACTTCGGGCTTAAATGAACTTTCGATCCTTTGATACCCTGCGCATCATTCCCTGCTGGACAGCATCATCATACATAGCTCACATCAGTCAAAATTGCACCTTATAAACAAGATACTGACAAAGAGATATAGTAGAGGCAGAACGTAGAGTCTATATGCAACATGTGATGTTCGTTGGTAAGAGTCCATTCCAGCCGTTGAGAGCTTAGATCAACAGCTGCTTGTGCAACAATAAATCGCTGTTGGAATGACCACTTCAAAACAAGCTGTCACGATAAACGTTCCAAAACACCTGGCACCGGTAAAGGCTCCCAGTTCAGCAGGTTGTGTGAGGCAACATGGACTCTGCAACAGAACAAGAGACCACCGCGCAACACAGTGAGCTACAATGAGCACCTACCTATGCACTCTATCGTCACAGGCGAAACAACAGCTTCAGGTGGTTCTAATGCAAGGAGAAATGCTGGTGTATTGGACAGAATGTGACAGCTATGAGCATCTCGACCCTACCTGGCAGGCTTCACAACAAAGCACCAAAGCATGGTGACCCCAACGCTAAGGGTTGTTACTGCCACTGCCAAGCCAACCAGCCCAAGCACCAGTCCATTCCCTTCTCCTCCACCCCCTCCCTCTTCGTCCCCTACCGCAGCGATGGTGACTCTCTTGGGGGCCAGTGTGATTGTGAACCCATGTCCCACGTGTGGGCCATTGTCAGCAAGGAATGAGACATGCAACCTTGCACAGGAACATAAAGATTAAGAGAAAGCAGGCCAGACGTGTCTCAAAAGGGCCTCACACTCGGTCAAAGCAGTACAGCACAGGGCAAGAGTCTAATCAGCTGACCTCAAACTGTTCATTGCAAGTTCCTTTCCTTGGGCTGCAGAAGACCACTCTGTTGAACAATGAGAAAACGAAGGAAACTGCCGAGAACAGTCAAGGACTGGACTCCATCACCGTTACTGCATTTTGAAGCTTTTGCATCTGGACTGCCGAGCCTGCTGTCCATTCATGTATGGACTCAATCATGCTCAGTCTGGTAGCAAACGGCAGGCTTGCGCAAACTGCCATTCACCGCCTTGAAGGCACAAACAAGGGTACAATCGCCGGGGACCAACACAAGCCGATCAGAATATGCAAAAGCATGCATACAAGTACAACGGTGTGTAAAATCCACCTCACTAGACCCACCTTTTGGTGTATATTGCCAGAGTCTTGTCTTGAAAGCATGACTGCTGGTTGTCAGCATGATGAACAGTGGTTCCCCCGAGAGGGTATTCAGTGATCTGGACTTCTTCCTTGGGCCCCATTTCACAGACATCAATGAGCAGTGTTGTCTCATCTCTGAGGCTCAAGCTGATGTTCCATTCACAGGTTGTCCCTGGCCTGCATATTCCAAATGCAGAAATTCCATGTGACATTATAGGACAGTGTCAAGAGACCCACATGGATACCACACAACCACACTTGTATGCACTACTTTGCATTGTTTAATTGTTGCAGCATACTACTATTGTATACTTCCCCTGTCATGAATTAATAGTCCTCTATTTGAGAGACAAAATTCTTTATAAGGATGACCATAAACTTACACAAGGAGTTCAGAATCGGAAAGATTGGGACTCGAAGCCCTTAACTACCAATTTTCAGGAAAATTCTCCACAAGTTAGTCCCACCCCCCCGGAGCGCCCTCAAAATTGGTCGAAATTCGTCCAAAACCTGTGCATGCTAATTCTGCGTCCACTGGAGACCTGCAAGGTTCTAGGTCATTTCTGTCCTAGATGTGCAAAAGAAAAGTCGTTGCTGTGTTGTGGCAAAGGGTGGCATCCCTCACGTGGATTACTGCTTGCCAAACATGCTCGCACATGTTTAGATCCCCAAGGCCGTGGCCATTGCATCGACCATTTATGAAATCGCGGCCATCCTCGATCTCTGATGCGCGGACCTAAAGCAAGCGGACAAGGCTAGGATCCAAGGCGTTGAAGCATGGGCTTTGTGCGAGCTGTCATGCTATGATTGTGTCGTAGACCTGCTTGGACAATCTGCCTCGACTGAAGCTTGAATCGATGCTTTTGCAGGTAGATTGACCAATACCCCGCAAAATGCCACTAGCTGCCAACTCTTGGCTACAATCCACAAACCATCGCAGCCTAGTGGGTGTGTTTCCCTTTGAGAGACGTAGCTCTATCCATAAGCCATTCTTCTCAAGCTTCAACCCTCTAAGTGCCAAAAAATGCTCAACTCACCATGCCCGTCTAGGAGGGCCATTGCCCTAACTGTCTGCCACTGAATGGGGTGATGGCTACCACTTTGCTCGGCCTTCCGCGAGGGGCTTAGGAGCCCTCCCGCAGTATCCCTTGAAGGGCCGTTGGACGTCCAAAAGCGACAGCCCCGAATTCTCGGCCCGATAGGCATCTCTGAGCCGGCTAATCGAACTTGAATTGCAATAGACAAGACAAGACGGCAAGACATGGTGAATTCCTCGATCAGGGCCTTGACGATGCGTTTTCTGTTGCCTTGCTCTTTTGTAAGCACCTCCACGATCTTGTGTCCAAAAAGCATGGATCGTGTTGGACGGGCGGCTCTGTTTCACTGCCGCAAAGGCGTGCTCCTCAACAACGAAAATGTCCGTTCTCGCAGCGATGCTGAAAAACTGAAGTTCTTATGGCCCGAGGACTCTTTCTACATTGACTTGAAATTTTTACCGAAAACTCCAAACTCACAAGCACAACTTTGGGCAAATTATCATTGAGAAATGAATCATCTGTAATGGAGAAGTAGGGTGCTAAAGTCATAAAGAACAATTATTTCGCGACTGAGGAAGTACAAAACTCTGTAGCATACTCTGTACATATTACTTGCACATACTACACAGTAGTCTGTCTGCATTTGATGGCATAGATATACTAAAACATGTATAAGAGCTAACACTACTCAGTTGACAATCATCAGCTCTCCAAGGGGTGCACTACCATCGACCACCATATTCATGCGGCAGTCACCGACTTCCACATTCAATTGAAGCCCAGTCAAACACTATTTGAACTCAGTACACCAACAAAACAAGCTGGTACACGGACCACATGGCGTCAATGTAATAACATAATCCATGCTTCAATGAAGCAAGGAATGAGGTCAACAGCAAAGACACAGCCAAGGATACACAGGAATCGTTTTCAGGCCTCATTTCATACACCACAAAATCAGAATCCCAGGGGAAAATCCATCACACTCGAATCCAGGCACGCTCTGCTTTCCAGATTAGGAGAGATCCCTTCACGATCCCCTATATGCACAAAGAGACACTTCTGTTCACTGTAGATTGTTGACTGTTCACTGTTTACCAACATTCTGTCTGCAAATCGCCATGCCAGCTAGTTCTGCAGCATGGAATCATGTTCGCCATAACACAGGTTCTCTAAGTTTTTGCAGAAATGCCAGCCATATTCCATTTCTGTTACATCGCCAGACCTGTAGAGTGCATTGTTCAAGTCTCCTTCAGGTAATGTCTCCCCCACTTCCATTTGCAGCTCTGTATTGCCGCTGCAGAACAGGGCCTGGTTGGCATTCACCACGGTAGTGTTCTCTGGCACATCTTCACTCAATGTAAATTGGGTGCCACCATTGAGGGAGACATCTGCAAGCACGAGAATTAGTGACATAGCGCACACTAGTTTATCACTGCAATGCGTAGCCCTGCGCTTTGAAAAGCAGAGTGGATTGGTTCAGCACATTTGGTGGACACACAGATGCAATTCTCAACAGCACAGCAATTCAAGTGAGTTGCACAAGATCGAACAAGACGGATAAGAAAAGCAAATTACTCCAAATGAAAATTCAAAGAGATTTTGGCATTTGAGATTCTGGTATTAGAAACTTCAGAACAAGGACAAGATTCCATGCAATGAGTGCCTCAAGAATCACTTACCTTCATACTTGAAAAATGCAGTGTAGGCAATGCCCATCGTCAGACCCTGAAATGTAGCCAAGCCATCAAGGCTGGCGATCCCATCCCTAGCAAGATGCTGTGATGGTATCTTGGCATTGGGATCGTCCCATTCACCATAGTACAGCATGGCCTTTGCTGACTTGGCAGGCTCTGGCACATCCACAGTCCCTTTGCCAAAGAATCTGTTGAACTGTATCCTGCAATGGCATTCAATACACCTTGAGTTTCCCAGACACCGATCTGCAGTCCACTTGTCTTGTGTCCAAGAGCTCGTCTAACTGCCTCCCGCAACAGCAATCCAACATACTTCGACTTGCCCAACACCAATATGCACTCCTCCACAACTGTCCCTTTACAAGGGTCACAATGCAAACTCAAGCATTTATGTGTATGTGCATTGTGCAACTGACTATACTCTGAAGTGCAGCAGTGCCCATCATTGAGGCTGATGCTGTAACACAGGCCAGCAATTACTCTTCCAGACCACTACAATATGCCCCTTCAGAATCGGGCCACTCTCACCTGAACTGGATGTCTCGGAATGTGATCGGAACCTTGAAGTGAATGTTCCTGTTCTCAGAAGATATGACTTCCAACTGTGTTTCCACTATCACTTGGTTCGATGGGTTCTGCATCACCTTGACATAGTACTCTCCACTCGGAACATTTGTCAGGTGAAGGATCGTGACCCTGTCCGATCTCATCTGCATGCCACCAATCACAGAAGATTTAAAAGGAGCCTGGTAAGGCAGCACTGTGGCACCCTGCATACCTGCAAATATCCATTCAATGATTTCATCGTTTTTCCCATGATTGTGGAACCCACATTTCACAGTCATCACACCAGCAGGCCTTAATCACCCTGCCAAAAACAGAAGCAATGTTGGCGACCTTTCAACAACCAACAACATCACAACAATAACAAAAGAGCATGAATGTTTCAAGTCAGTGAACGTTCCATTAGATCCGGTGACAAACACAGTTGTGGACCAAAAATAGTTCAGGAGTAGCACACCTGGCGGCTCCACTGCTTCAGTGGACTAGCAAGACCACTTTTCATAAGCTGCACATTGACACTGCTCCCATCGGTCTTCAAAGTCTGCTTGACTGCAGATTGGGATTCACCACACCTCGTGCCCTCCGATGCATTGCTGTCTTCAACGGACGTGCCCCACAGCAGGCTCACTTGGATGGACCGGCCAGCACCCGTGTCACCAGGCACTGCGTCAGAAGCAAACACCCCTGGAAGGGATATTGAGATGACTGGTGAAGGGGCATTGAAGTCGATGGCATCCAGGACCCGCTCTGTACAGACAGACCCAAAGCGCACCACCACCACATACTGCTGGGTAAGCGGGTTCTGGGGTGTGATGGGGTGCAGCTTGAAGGTTGCAGTGCCACGGTCCCCAGACTGAACGGGTCCACACTCCCATGGGTTGGCACAGCTCCCATCAGATTCCTCACCCAGGGTGACCAAGAATACAGTCACATCCGCACCAATAACATCGATTTGTTCAGATTCATCCTTCACTATGACTGTGAGTGTCGTTGGCTGCTCGATGGTCAGAGTGGTCAGGACGTCATTACCAGCCTGTAAATCAACTGCAGCCTTCCCCACAGCCACACCACCCACCTCGAGGGACACCACAGCACTCACATTCTCCGTACGGAGTTGTATACCCTTCAGCTGCCAAGTTGCATTCTCCTTGAAGTACTGCTTAGATTCATAACGCAGGGCAGCACCTTCCACATCCTGGATCATGGGCACCATGCCTGCCGGATCACTTAACTCGCCCATCGACTCTGCATCCATGCCCGCCACCTCCACCATCAATGATGCCTGGTGTCTGGAAGTGACACACTTGTCGTTTGGCCGGAAGGCATCTGGACACTCCCCTTCAAATGACCCTTCGTTTGACAGGCACTGTTCCCAGTCAAGGACCCAAAGAATGTTTCGGCTGGTGGGAAGTGACCCCGGAAAATTGGGTTTGCTTGTTTCATTCCACTCCACGCCACCAAACACTGCGAGGTGGCCCGCTTCCAGGAAAGCAGCAGAGTGGAAAATGTGTGGCAATATCTCATCTCGTGACTGGGGGAACACTTCATACCAGTGGCCCCTGCCACAGGCAACTTGCAACACCCATGTGTCGTTGCGATTTCTTGGAATCGATGCCGAGCCTTCAATGGAATTCTGTGGAAGAATTTCACCTCCAAAGAGAACGAACATGCCAGCCGTCCCTGAGCAGAAAAGCACAGGCAGTCTGCAATCATCACCGTCCTTCACTGAAGTCGGAATACCATTTCGCTGCTGACCATGTTCAATGCCAAATCTATCGATGCTTGCAGAAAAAGAACCCAGCTTCATGCCGCCCCAGCGTGTCTGCAGATTCACTGAAAAGCAAATTCTACGAATACAGATGCTATTCTGAGGTGCATATGGGGTTAGCTGCGTCTCGCTCCAACACAATCATATGTGTTATGACCTTGACCTTGAAGCTACATGCCGTGGAATTAGTTGATTGACATCCTCAAGATTCCATTGTGCATTCTTCCCTTGGCTTTTTAAACAGCACCTGGCTTGTGCCATGAGGCTTCCCAACGCCATGTTATGTCTCCATTATTCAAATAGTCGCAATGTTCCACAGGCCGAGCATAGCATACAGTCTCACCCAGGATTATCTTGCCTGTAGTGGAAGCTACAACATAGGTACACAGGCCCAACAGTCGTTTCACATTTGCAGGGGATTCCTTATGTATTTTTTGGTTCTTGCGGAGTGGGGGACAACTGCCTGGAAAGGAACATAACCGTACTGATCGGTGTGACACGTCTGCCATCGCCAAATTCAGGTAAAGAAGTTTGATTTGTCAGGGGCAACAAGCACATTTCCACTAAATTCAGAAGATAAGTCGCCAGGATCTGTTATCACAATCATCACAAGTCAAAGTCGCCAGTCATGGCACCTGGTGATCATGACCGGTGACCAAAAAGACAGCCATCATTGCATGATCCCAAACAACTTGCGCTTCAACTGGGTGTCAAACAATCTGAGCAGGCACAGTTCAAGAGGTGAACGACGTCTCCACAAAGGAAAATGCCCAAAACGTTCAGCAAATCCCTAACAATCGCACTGACGCACAAAAGCACAACTCCAGAATCGGGATCAGGTATGAACTGGTACTGGAAGCAATGCTTCAAGAGGAGAACAGGCGACTTCAAGTGTGTCTTTGAGGCACCACAACTGCTGCTTCCACCTGGTTTCAGACCTCGTTACCTGACACAGCGGTGAAGGAGGAGAATGATCGGGCACCAGGGCCAGGGCCTGATGTATGGATTTGATTCCAGGTGCCATTCACCCGATTGCCTACAATTCCATGCAGCTCAAAGAGCCAAACGTCTGTCAGCAGGGCATCCCGGTCATCCACCCCACCATAGCAGACCATCGTGTTCAGGGTGGAACGCACACATGAATGCCTAAAACGGCGCTGCAGTGGCAAGTAGAAAATCGACATTAACTATGGCCCACCAGACAAATCGACACAAAGGCAAAAGACCTCAGCACCGCCAACCAACGCCATTCGATTGACATTCATGGCTGGCTAAAACACCAACAGTAAGCGAATCGTAATGGCTGTTTAGTGGCAACACAACAGCCAGCTCTTGTTTAGGTAGCGCAGAGAGGTACACAAATGCACCTCAGCGCATTTCTGCTGAATTTAATCTGCAAGCACTTCACACAAGAGCTGCTGGAAAACAAAGAAACAACAAATCATTTTGGACCAACAACACTATCTGCAGGAAATCGTCCAAACAGTGTGCACAATGTGATGAGCTACGCCAGTGTCAAGCAACAGGCAGCATCGTACCATAGGTTCGATTCGCTGAGATGGCAGTTTTGCCCAAGTCCTGTTGGCTGGATTGAATGCCCACAGTTCGTTCACAACAGAACCATCGGACGCCTGGAGTGGGTCTTCCAGTCCACCCTTCACAACAACTCCACCGAACACAACCATAACACCCTCACGCAGCCCATCGTCTCTGGCGTGCCAAAGATATACTGCTGTGTGACCATGGCGCCCCGCAGTTTGGAGGATGTCTGGGTTTTTGCGGTGCTCTGTCAAGGACTGCCATGATGCAGTGTTGTTTTCTTGCAGCTCTAATGCCCAAACCTGTGCTCACAGAACCTATAGCATCAGCCAGCAACATGGACTATGGCAATCAAGACCACAGATGTGGAAATCAGATCAAAGCAGTGGCGTGTCCTCAGCGCCTTGAAAATACAGGGCTGATGAGTACTTTGCGCTGCTTCAGCAGAACGCAGAACCTCATATTAATGAAATGCTTAGTGAACCAGGTATTCTCTTTTCATGCTGAAACCCTAGCACTTTCATATCGATAGCAGTATTGCACGCCTGAATTGTCAAGACTCTAAGCAGCAATGCAGAGAGCATTCATCAACATAAAGGGAATGGAAGTGAGCTCCAACAACCATTGTGTACTGTGAATAAATCGGGTCTAATAATATTCCGAAAGAGCAGGGCTTCATACTCATCACTGTTTCTTTTTCCAAAATACAACATCACACTCAAGAATACAGGAACATATTTCACTACATATTAGCGTTCGCGCTCCTACAGGCTTCCAGCATGTTCTTTGACGCTTGTGAAGCTGGAGTGGAATAATCGGGTCAGGGACACACAGGCTACTGAGGGTTAACTCTGCACAAAAGGGAAGGTCGTCTCCGCAATCTCCATTAACTTTCTAGGGCCACGAGACTCTGCCACAGGTTTATGGCATTTTCTACCTCGTTCTCAACATTTGTCCTTGGGTTCTTTTCTGCTCTTTTCTTTTCTTCATTGTTCTTGTTGTTTCCTCCAATTGAATGTGATGAGCATTTCCTTGGGTGATTCTGCCATCCTGCTCGTGGTGTGCACAGGATGGTACGCGAAACTATGATCTACACACGTTCAACAAGCCTTGCTTGAACGTTTCTATGCCAATCATCACCTTGGATATGTCCAGGCCTCAATGTCAAGTGCATTCAACGAATTTAGTCCACAGAGTTACCACACCCATAGCATTTGTATGGTTCCAGAGTATTACACCACATTCAATATCCACATGTGCGCTCACCGCATTGTCCAGGTCCCATTCGCTGTCTGATCTACGTCTGCTGTATCCCCCATAGAGGAGAAGGTAGGTTTCGTTGACCGCCACCAGGGCATGTCCAGTACGCGATCCTGCAGTTTGAGAGTGCACACGGATTGGAGACCATCGGCCCAGCGTTTTCGAGTCTTTCCCCTTTTCGTAAGACCAAATGTTCTCAAAATAGAAGGTTATCTTCCATGGCAGTTGCGAACCTGCAAGAAAAATCAGCAGCCACTTGAAAATATCAGTACTTTTCACTGACAGGGCATTGTTCATTGCAGGATAAGTGCGCTGTCACAAGCAGGAAAGTATTGGCATACACACTTGTTGGGGTAACATGAGCTCATCATTGCCCTGACAGGTTCAGGTGGTGCTTCTCTGCATGATAGCAAACATAACCAAACCCGACTTCGATTGCAAGTCACCCACATCAACTCAACATAGCAAAGTCAAGGAAGCAGACTTAGTGCCAAACTGCATCCTTGCTTGGCAGAAGCAGCACCTAAGCCTAGTTTTCACAAAATATAGCTGTATTTCATTAAGCACAGGAACAAGGAAGGTCACTTTTTTTGTCTGCAACAGTGAAATTGTTCTTTTTTGCGCCATGTTCTTTCTTGTGACAGTGGCGATGATTGATGCACGAGATGTTGGCATCAAATTCGCCAAGCCAACCCAGCGCGGTCCACAGGGCCTTCTCTCACAACGGCGCCGAAGGCGTGTCTGTTCGGAGAAGTAACCAAAAGGCGAAACGGGCGTGTTTGGGGACGCCCATGGTCCCCACCTTGCAGAAGGGGAGCTGCTGCTGCCATTCGGCGCTCACTTTGGCACTAAGATTCAGCCGAATAGGCTGAGGTTGGAGCCCCCCGTTTCCGCTCAAGCTCTGTTTTTGCAGTGCTAGCCCACTGAAATGCGCACAAATGGCCACATGGGGAGACGGCGCAGCCAACTGGGATCGGGGGAATGTTGCTTGTGACGCCGGACGGGGAGGCCAAGGCGCTGGTTGCCGGTGCCATTTCCGTCCAGGCTTCGACCAACAAGGCACCCACGCCCAGCGCCGTTAACTGGTCACACGATCAGCTGTTGCTGTCTGGTGGGGGCACGCCCTGTGAGCCACAACCAGTGGCGGGGAGTTACGACCAGTAGCGGGCTGCCACTGGCGGCATTTCAGCATTTGGTGCAACTTAGTGGCCAATTGGTGCCGCCCGGCCCTGTGCACCACCCACGCCCCAGACAAGCACAGCATTGACCCGTGAAGTTGGAGGAAACGGAACAGTGATCTTTCGGGCTGCGAACAACAGCACCGGTGGCTGGTAGTGGCTGGTGGCAGGTGGCGAGTGGCAGGTGGCAGGTGGCATGTGGCGGGTGGGCGAGTCGCTTCAAAGGCCCCGCCGCCTTCTCATACTGTGCATTGGTCATATTTACTGTCACAAAAAAGAGTAGTTTGGCACTGTCGCAAAAAAGAACAGTCCACTGTCGTAAAAAGAAATATTCACACCCAGGCAGCCCTCCTTAACCTTCAAGGTCCTGTCAAAGTAGGACACATTATGTCCTAAGCAATGGCTTCCATTGGGTACATTTTGCAAATTTCATGATAACGGACACTGTGCTGCCAGCAGCATTGAATGGTCTTCCAGTGAGTTTTGCAATTCGATTTCCCTTAGCTGTACTGGTTCAACATTCCAACTTGCGATCGCTGACATGAAGAAAAGCATGATTCCACTACATTACCTCAAACTCCAGTGTTCAACCAAGAAGGTCAGAACAAACAAGTATATTCAGTAGTTCAGTACAAGTGCCAGGGTCTTATGAACACAGCACATCAAAGCCGCAGCTTCTGGCACTTGATCTTATTCAAATCACCTGTCTGTCCCAAAGGGAGGTAGAACTGAATGGATCTGCCACCAAAGAGAATAAGCTTTCCATACGTCACTTCCACAAGTGTTCCTTCAATTCTTGCAGGAGGCTTCACTGCCTCAAGGGCACGCCACACCAACGTCTCTGGCTCCAAGACGTAGGTCACATCAGGCTCCTCTCGGAACGCAACAGCTGTCCTACCACCCAGGTGGTAAAACTGCAAACAAAAGCACAGTGCAGCAGCAGTGAGTCACCAGCAATAATAATTGCCATTCACCATACAGCACAATACAATGGAATTTGCCAGTTCCACTCCTGCAGATCTTGCATATGCCCGAAAGGGGTTGCCATTCACACACAAATGACTCTTCAGTTAACCCTATGCATCCATATCACATGCTGGAGTCTTGTTACCTTGCAAACAGCTCTCCAATCTCATATGGTTGCAGGTGGACGCTGAAGCCCCCTCGCAGGGAACAAGGCTGGGAACAGCTGACGATTTCTCTAAAGAGGCTAGTGAAATTTGGAGACATGCTATTTAGTGGTGCACCATCATCCACTCCCACAAGTATGAGCAACCCACACCGAATATGGGAAACAACCAGTCTGGAACATAGCTAATACTTGCCTTTCCACTACTCATCACCCCTGCTGCTCCCTTTAGTGCAGGGGGTGAATCTGTCCAATTCAGCAACCCCATCCTCTCTTCCTCAGTCCACCACTCATCAGTGCTGAAGTCATAAATTTCCATTGCAACCCAACTCTCAAGTCGACGGGTGGTCTTGTTGAAATGCCTGTCAATGTTTGCCTGGCTCATTTGCCCTCCAAAGACGATCATTTGAGAGCCTGGTCAACAGATGCCAAAAGCCATTCAGTACCCAGAATGTGATCCGTCACAGAGATCACTCATACAGCTCTGTTTCATCACCTCTCTTGGACAAATCTTGATGACACAGTGACAGGGCTCCACAGCCTGACAATACTGGCGCCTGGGCAATCCAGTGGAAAAGAACAGTGACAGCTCCAATCTACAGTATCAATTCACCCAAAGCTCTGTACTGTGCTACAGCAAGTTGAGCAGCAGTCAGCCTGTCAGACTGGCATATTTGCACAAACCCAAACCAAAAGGGTAGCTAGTTGTTGGCCAGAGACTGCAAGAAAGTCTGACAGCAGCTGGGCAGTGCAAGCCCTTACAGCTGACACCACCCTCAGATATCACACTAAAATATCTGACTGCACAAATCTCAGTTGAGAAACATAGAAAGAGAGACCCACTCTGGACGGAGCAAGAAGCGTTGTGCCTTCATGGCCTATCGAGTCAAAAATACGAACTGCACAACAGAAAGGCAGGCAGCAACGAACAATGTCAGGAACTGCACAAAAGGGTGTGCCAAAACATACCTCTGACAAATGCCTCGTGGAAAGCACGGCCAAACTGTGCTGAGGCCATCTCGAGCCACTTGTCTTCTGTCGGACTGTATCTAAACAGCTTATTGGAGTAGTTCTGGCCACCTGTTATGCTGCTGTTCTGCACACCTCCAAAAACATACACAAAACCTTCATGCTCAACAGCAGTATGCCACTGCAAGGGCACCGGGGCAGGGGCCTTGCCTTCCCACACCACCCCCTGCACTGTTCCGTTGTCAGTCTGGAATTCGAGCCTCAAAGTGTCCGCCAGTATGTTGTCTTCAAAATTGCCGCCGAAAACAAGGACTGAAGGATTATTTGTTCCTGATGTCAACATCACAGATGCATGCATGGCTCGTGCAGGAAATTCTGTCTCGCCAGCACCCTGGGGGACAGACAAGAGAATGCACTGTGAGCACAGCTCTTGACAGCAAATTCTCGTCAGTCTTCTGTCTAGTAGTCCTTTGGCTCATGCCCACACAACCCTTGAGAGCTCATGCACTGAAGAATGTGTTTTGGTATAAAATCATCCATGTGTTATGTCTCGCTCAATACTCCTTGCCCACTGAGCATCTCAAATCGTCCATTAAGTGCAGGATTGTCCAACCAATGTCATTTGCTGGGCTAGCAATCTGACACAACTGCTGTTAAATCACCTTGAGTATGCGCCATTCTCCCGTTTCAAGGCTCTTCAGCCACACATCGCTCAGAAAGCGTGGGCTTGGGGCCACACTGTCAATCCTGTGCCTTGCATTGTTCATCTGGCCACCAAATACCACAAGGCAGCCGCGATTCATGCAGTCAGCACCTGATCTGATGAACACCAGGGAGTGTCCAAATACTGCGGGCGGCAAATCGGCAACAAAGCCAACGAGGAGATCGTCTACATCATCTGGAGTGCACAGCAACAGCAGCCATATCAGTGGCATGGTTTGGGATAAGGATGACCATTGAGCACAAACATTTGTTGGGAACAAGCACTTGCGTTTGTGTTCAGCGCACAGTGTTGCTCAGCAAAGCAGCAGTGATATAACATGTCTCTACAGGTGTACGCAAAGAGAATGCGCTCTACACACTGCCACCACACAGGAATGATGGCCCCCGAAGGCAAGGGGCCAGGCAGGCGAGGCCCTTGCTTCTTCAAAGGACCAATGGGGCTGCCAGATATGACAATGCCATATGGCACATGAACATGTTCACCATGGTACAAACAATCATAGCATAGAAACCAAAGGAGCTGCTGATGAGACATGCTTACCCTCTATCAATTTCCATTTCTCCGTTCTTGTGTTCAACTTCCACAGATCTCTTAGGCAACGATCTTGTGTCTGGGAGTGCCCCCCGAACATGAAGATTGACGTGTCATTGTCACCTGCTAGAAAGCAGCAACATGTTCACACCATTGCCCTGGATTCAATTGTGCACATAGATTGCACAGCGGCCTATCAATACCACCTTGATACAAGGATATGTCCAGATTCCCACACACTCACCAAAATGTGACCTGCAAAGCACTGTTTTTGCTAATCCCTATGAGGCAAAAATGGAGGCCACGCCTGATGATGTGCTTTTGATACTTGCTGAATTGTGGGGCCAAATTTGCAAAAGTACTGATTTTGGGTGTGCCATGAAAACACACACAGAAACAAGCCTGGTAATGCAAAGCGACTTATCCCTCAAGAGGAATGCTCTAATGGCGGTGCATACCCAGGATGCGAAATGATGCTCCTATCAGCAGTCTCACACAAACGCACTCATTTGAAAGGGCAGGCGCTGTCCGACTGGTAATTTCGCAAATGTTTGCTTTGGGCCTGCCACGAGAGGGCTACCAGCTCAAACATGAGAATCAGCTTCAGCCTTGGTCTCTTTCAGTGTCTTTTATACCACAAAAGGGCTTGCAAAGGAGTCTGCGGATACGTTCGTCAACGAGCAACTCGCACCGAGTTTCGCAGGCCCTGGGTCAACCTGGCCCCATGGTGTATCGCTCACTGGCATTGTAATAAATGCACAATTTGCCACGTTCTCGTCAGCAACGCCAGGTCCCAAAGTGGAACAAGGGCTGTGCAACAAAGAAAAGGCGGCGCCCTCCCTCCTCTCCCCTAAACCCAAAACCTTCGACGCCCCCCCAGCAGCGCCTGCCTCCGTCCCCACTGCGGCAGAGACAGCCTCCCATTGTCTTCATCGTCCGCGGGATGCGGTTCGGCTGCGCGCCAGTCTCTCAGGTGCGAGAACCGGAGCATTCGCGTCACATCCTGCACAACGGGACGGAAAGGCGCGGCGGATGTTCACCTGCAGTCGCCCCATGGAACGCCCTGGCGTCCGGGACCGCCAAATCGAGCCCCAGCCACTGGGCGCGAGCGACGCAGACCAACGCGCAGGTCAGGAGCACGACAACGTGGGCGCCTCGCCGCGGGTCGTGGCAGCCGAACATCTGTTGTCGTTGCTGTGGGTGCCAGGGGGAGGGCGCAGTTCACCAAGTTGTTCCTCAGGAGCCGGTGAGTCGGACGCTAGGTATAAAAAAGCGTTCGGACAAAGCGAGGGTCCGGGAAAACAAGCATATTCACTCTTCTGGACATTGTTACGGTCCAGCTCGTGAGGCCCAGTGGCGACAGCCAAGTATGGAAACAAGGGCATAAATACCCATGGAAGAACTCCAATACAAGGGCGCTGATGAGGCGCTGTGGCGAGCGCCGAAATGGGTCCACCTCGCTAGTGTTTTTTTTCAAGAAATGAAGTTAACTATCCTGTTAATGGGTTTCTGCCAAGGGCGACGATGGGTGGGTTGCGCCAGCGATTCAAACGGTGCAGTTTGAACCTGGGGTTTACTCAACCCCGTCCCTTGGGATTTCTGGCCACCCCTAGTACCGTGGGTCAGTCAAAGTACGGTATTCCGAGGTGCCGCCCGCGAGGGCGCTCTCGAGTTTGGCGGGCTTTGGCGGGGCGGCGGAGGGCGGCTATTTAGGCAGCCCCTCGGTCCCCCTCCTTATCTTGTTTCGCTTCGCGCCAGTGCATTGGCACAACCCGCAGGCACCGAGTGCCTTGTCCCTCCGGCTACGGCCGAGTCTTTTCTATGCACCGTTCTCCGGCCGAGCAGTGGCTGCACGACCAAGCGGTTCGGTTCAACGACGGTCCGCCTACGGCTTCCCTTGATGAAGCTTGGCTGTCCGACCCCCGGCTCCTTCCGCAGGCGGTGACCAACCCGGTGGTCCGACCGCCGGGCGTACGCTTCCCCGAGTGGTTTGACGTCCGCCGCACCTCCGAAGGCGGGCAGCTCGCGCAGGCCCTGGGCGCCAACTCCGGGTACTTCCAAGAGTACCAGAACTGGGCCCCCTACATCGCGTGGCAGTTCGACCTCACTGCCGCGTTGATCGACTTCGTGGCCCACCCGGCCTTTCCGCCGGAGTTCCGGGAAGCCCTCCTTCCGTACGTCCACGCCCAAGTGACCATCACGTCGCGCCTTCAGAGCCTAATCCGACTTCAGCAAGTCCACGGCGAGCAGAAAGGCACCTCCCTCGACGGTCTGTGGAAGGCACTTCAGACCAATGTGCGATTGGGCGCCATACATCGACGGTTCTGGGACCCATTGATCGACGAGCCTGATACATAAAGGCTGTGGGTGTGGGGTTCCTGCCCTCTTTGAGCCGTGGACCCGCCTCGCCGGGCACCTAGGTCCTTACGGGGACCTAGGCGGGACCACCCCTCCTACTCCCGTATCCTAATACCTAGAATGGTTATCATGGGTTGAGGATAGGTAGCTTGGGCAGGGCGTCCCCCACACCAAGGACCCTTAGTAGGGCGTCCCCCACGTCAGGCCGGTGCGCGTAACATTCGTCCCCCTCAGGGAGAGGGGCGTCCTCGTCCCAATGCGTGGATATGGGAGCAGAAACATTATGTATGTATATGGCAACTGGCTGTGCGATTTGCCACATCCCCAGTTTGCACGATAATTATACATACATTACACAAACTGTGGTGAAGAGAAAGAGTGGTTGTTTTACATGACCTGCCGGCCTTTGACAACCCTCATTAAAACTCTTCGTGCAGCACTTCAGCTGCAAGGTTCTGACCTTCCGGCCTATGTCCATTCCAGGAAAAGACGTGGAACATGCAGGTCACCCTGCACGTCCCCTACCCCGATACGTACGGCCACCTGCTGCCCAACCATGACCACCCCGCGAATATGGACCTCGTCCTCGCCCATGAGCACGGATGGGTTCTCGCGGAGGTTGGATCAATGGCTGCTCCGTGGCCAAACGTCCCCCGTTCAAGATAGCTGCGGACATTGCGTTCATATGTCCGAACAGCGTACAAGTACGGGGCCCGGTATACCCAGTCTGCTTCTGGGCCCACTTCAGTAGGACCTGTCAAAGGCATATCTACACATGAGCTTATATACATTTCGTACTGCGATCAGTTGACATATGCACCACAGGAGTTCTTCCATTTTCAAACGCTTGAACTAGTTCCTGTGCATTTGCAACTGCTTTTGCTGATTCCCAGCTATTATGCTCATGCCCGTATCCCAACCATTTGACAAGGTACTCTACCGAGTTCTGGCGCTTTCCGCGCTTTTTAATTCTTTTGTCAAGGATACGTTCAACTTCATACTCCAGTTCACCTTCGATCTCGATAGGTACTGGGGGTGGCTGTACTCTGCCACTTGCCTTATAAGGCTTGATTTTCGACACATGAAATACTGGGTGTATCCTATGCATGCTTTCCGGGAGTTCTAGTCGATATGCGACAGAACCTATCCGGTCGAGGATGGTGAAGGGCCCAATCCACCTCGGTAATAATTTTCGAGTTCCAGGGTGCTTGAGGGTGATATGTTGTGTCGAAAGGAGGACGTCATCTCCTTTATTAAACGACACTTCCCTCCGATGGCGGTCAGCATGCTTCGACTGCCTATCTCGTGCTTTTTCCAAGCACGCCCTGGCCTCTTTCAGCGCTGTTTGGACACGGTGATCAAATCGTGTCACAGCTGGTAGTCCCTCCACGAGGGGTGTACCAGTATGCCTTAAATAAGGCTGTTGTGCCCTGTCAATGGCCACTGCCAAGCCACGGGCATTCGGATTGTCATAGCCCTTTAAAGGCTTCCGAATCTGTACCCCAAGAGCTAAGAGACTCTTTGGGTGTCGACCGTAGTTCAAATAGAACGGGGTCTCTTGGGTGGAACTGTTGTGCGAGTTGTTCATTGCAAACTCGGCCATGGCTAACAGTTCATCCCACGCGTCATGGTCAGAACGCGTATAGTTGCGTAAGTAATCCTCCAGAATCCGATTCATGACTTCGGTCTGGCCATCCGTCTATGGATGGTACGTAGTGCTCATGTTGAGTTGAATCTTCCACCTCTCGGCCAGGTACCGGTAAAACCTGGAAGTGAACCGAACGTCTTTGTTGGACACTATTTGAGAGGGGAGACCGTGGTGCCTTATCACATTTTGCACCAACAGGTCAGCTACTCCTTCTGCAGAGAGCTCAGTGGTCATGGCTGCGAAGCGGACCATTTTGGTCAGTCTATTGACGAACACGACGATAGCATTATGACCTCTCTTAGTTTTTGGCAGTTGTGTAATGAAGTCCATGGACAATTCAGTCCATGGCTCCTCAGGAATGCCCAGAGGCTGTAATAAGCCTGGGGTCTTTTGACGAGAGTACTTAGCCTGTTGACAAACCAGGCAAGTATCAACATGTAGTTGTATTTCTCGTCACATTCCTGGCCACCAGTAGTGCCTCTGGACTAAGTCTAGGGTCTTGACTTGACCAAAGTGTCCTGCACTTGGATGGTCGTGAGCCAACTGACAGATCTTAGTCCGCAGACTGACTGGTATATATACCTGTTTGCCTCGCAGCCATAACCCATCTGTACAGCGCATCTCTTGCTGCTGTTTTACAGACGCAAGTTGGGGATCTTGGCCATAGGCCTGACGGATTCTGGAGGCCAGATCTTCTGCCTCTACTATCTTTTTCTTATTTCCCCGCTTGTGTATTACTCTTAAGCCACAGACAATCAGTTGACTCTTCCTCCTGGCTTCTCGTTCATGGGGAGATGGAGGGATGCGAGAGAGTGGAACAGCCACATTCTTTCGCCCTGGGCGATATTCCCAGTCAAAGTCAAACTGTTGTAAGATTTCAGACCACCTGGCCTGTCTTCGGCTCAGTTGTGGTTGTGACTTAAGGTAAGTTAACGGACAATGGTCTATTACCAGTTTGAAGCGTGTTCCTTCAAGATAACACCTCCATAACTGGACAGCATGAATAAAAGCCAACGCTTCTTGGTCCGTCACACTATAGTTCAACTCCGCCGGGAGGAACTTTCTGCTGACATAGCAGATTGGATGATTATCTTGCATCAGAACTGCTCCCACTGCAGTCTGAGAGGCATCTGCTATGACCTCAAAAGGCCTCTTAGGGTCTGGCATCTTGAGCAATGGAGCTGTGGTTAAACACTCCTTTATATACTCAAATGTCTCTTGACATTTCGCTGTCCACTCCCACTTGCCATTCTGTTTGGTCAAGTCTATCAAGGGAGTAGCCATTTTCGAATAGCCCTGTATGAACTTTCAAAAATAGTTTGCTAGCCCGAGGAACTGTTGTACATGCTTTACGCATTGTGGTACAGGCCAGTTCTTAAACTTTTTGATCCCTTCGGGATCTGGGCGTATTCCCTCTTGAGACACCACATGTCCCAGGTAGGAGATCTCCTCCTTGTTGAATTGACATTTGTGCATGCGACAATACAACTTCTGTTGTCTTAGCACCTCTAACACCTGTCGAAGGTGCTTAAGATGTTCTTCAACAGTCTGGCTAAACACTAAGATGTCGTCCAGGTAAACCAGAACGTGTTTGCCAATTTGATCACCAAATATATGGTGCATCGTCTGCTGGAATATCGCCGGGGCATTCGCGAGTCCAAAAGGAAGTACCTTGAACTCGTAAAGGCCCAACGGCGTTACAAAAGCCGTTTTGGCACAATCGGCCTTGTCAATCCGAAGTTGATAATACCCTTGCCGCAAGTCTATAGCCGAAAAGATCTTGGCCCCTTGCAGTTGATCCAAAAGAGTATCTATTCGAGGGATTGGCCACTTATTCTTAATCGTGGCTTTATTTAGTGCTCGATAGTCGATGCACATTCGGAGGCTGCCATTTGGCTTTGGTACAAAAAGTACTGGAGCCCCAAATGGGCTACTGCTCTCTGTGATCAGGCCTTTTCTTAGCAGGTAATCGATCTGTGATCTGATCTCGTCCATTTCCTTTGGACTATACCGGAAAGTGGGTCGTTTTACCGGTTTAGTTCCTTCTTCTAGGGGAATCGTCAAAGCCACCCCCCGATCGGGTGGAAGACCAGTAGGGAGTTCATCAGGAAAGAGATCCTTGTACTCCTCCAATAGAGATGTAATATGTGTGGGATTCACCGCGGGAGATGTGGTC